AGGTACAGAGAAGAACTACAAAAACAACAAGAAAATAATAAAATGGCAATACCTACATACCCATTAATAGATATTTTATATAGACAACTCTAAGGTTTTCACCAAAAAACTATTGGAACTAATAGATGAATTCAGTAAAGTAGTAGGGTATAAAGTTCACATTGAGAAATTGGTTGCATTTTTACATACCAATAACAAACTACTAGAAAGAGACATTAAGAAAAAAAATTCCATTTACAATTGCATCAAAAATAATAAAATACCTCAGAATAAATTTAACCAAGGGGATAAAATATCTGTAATCTGAAAACTATATGACATTGAAGAAAGGAACTGAAGAAAGAAGATACAAATAAATGGAAGGCTGCAACAAGTTCATGGATAGACAGAATTAACATTGTTAAAATGCCCATAGTACTCAAAACACTCTACATATTCAATGCAATCCCTATCAAAATACGAATACATTTTTCACAGAATTAGAACAAATCATCCTAAAATTTTTATGGAGCCACAAAAAGACCTTGAATAGCCAAAGCAATCTTGAGAAATAAGAACAAAGTTAGAGATACCACACTCCCTAATTTCAAACTATACTAGAAGGCTATAGTAATCAAAGCATCATGGGACTGGCATACAAACACACATACAGATTAATGGAACAGAATAGAGTGCCCAGAAACAAACCCACACCTATGTGATTTATTGACCTGTGACCTAGGAGGCAAAAATATACAATGGGGTCAAGACAAAGACAGTGTCTTCAATAAATGGTGTTCGAAAATTTGGACATATGCCTGCAAAATAATGAAACTAGACTACTTTATCACACCATATACAATAAACAGAAAATGGATTAAAGAGTTGACTGTAAGACCCGAAACCATAAACTCTTGAAGAAAACATAGGTAATTAATTCTTTGACCTCACTCTTAGCAATATTTTTTTTTGGTATGTCTCTGTAGGCAAGGGAAACAAAAGAAAAAATAAAGAAATGGAAATAGATCAATTAAAAAGATTTTCACAGTGAAGGAAACTGTCGACAAAATGAAAAGACAACCCACTGAATGGGAGAAGATATTCACCAATGATACATCTCATAAGGGGTTAATATCCAAAATATATAAGGAACTCATATAATTTCACACCAAAACAAACAAACAAACAAAAAATGGGCAGAGGACCTGAACAGACATTTCTCCAAAGAGGACACATACAGATGGCCCATAGACATATGAAAAGTGCTCACATCACTAATCATCAGAGAAATGCAAATTAAAACCACAATGAGCGATCACCTCACACCCATCAGAATGGATATCATCAATAAATCAAGAAACACGTGTTGAAGAGGATGTGGAGAAAATGCAATCCTTGTGCATTTGGTGGGATTGCAAATTAGTTCAGCCACTATGAAAACAGTAGAGAACTTCCTCAAAAAATTAACAATAGATCGACCATATGACCCAGCAATCCCAAAAACTTCTTCTGGATATTTATCTGAAAAATTCCAAAACACTATTTTGAAAAGTCATAATCATCTCTATGAATACTAATATTCATATATAATATATAAATGCTAATGTCATTTGTTTTTATATATACTAATATAAATACATATATAATATTTTTTATCATATTAACCACTTACATTTTTTTTTTAAAAGTTGCAAGGGTTGCCAATTCTTTAAATATTATGGAGGAAAGGTGACTAAAATATCGTTTGTACCAAACTATTCCAAATAACGAAACAGAATTTGTGGAAAACAAAAAGTCACAAACTAGAACATAAACCATAATAGCTAATAAAGAATAAACAGGCAAAAAAAAAATCCCAACAATATTTCATTGCTATAGTTCATATCTCAGAAATAAGAAAATATTTCATAGTCTTCAAATTCTGTTTGTATATATGGTATCATTTTAATTCTTACTTCTTGACAACAAATAAAAACTGCTCTGTGTTCCTTTTCTATGTGGATGAGGACAAGGTGAGAGGCAGGAAATGGTCATCTCAGCCTCTCAGTGAGAGCAGGAGCATGTCTGTTGTTACCCGGAGACTTCCTGAGCTAAATCCCAGAGGCTCAGAGGTATTACCACATCAGCAAAGAAAACGGTCACACCAGCCTCTCTTTAAATGAACCCAAATACATTTCCTTTATGGTTTCAGAATAGCTTTTCCCTTACTGCTTCTTTCCTAGGACACAAAAAGAAAACTGAATAAATTGAACAATATGGTTTGTTTTGACTACGGATATTTTGATACACACTGTGACTCATAGCAAACTTTCCCTTTTGACATTTTTTGTTTATTTCTAACAGTTAACCTTTAGGATTTTCAGCTGCAATTGAAGCAGTGAGAAAGCTAGTCAGTGGAATTATTAATTGGAGCCTGGAAATCTAAAACTATGCTTTCTGCCAGCAATTTCTTAAGTACAAAACTAAAAGTCTCAGAATCAAAGCAATAAGGCTACATTCATATATAAAAGAAAGTTGGCAGAAGATAATGATTCTGAGGTTATTGTCTATATAATAGTTCCATTGCTTTTAATGTTGAGACGTCTGCCTTTCTGAATCTTGAGGAAGAATTGGGTGGCTGCTATTCTCCAGATCATGCACCTTTTGGAGCATTATATATATTGGGGGAATCCAGCAACTGTGTACCCCAAACCCAGGGATGATAAAAGGGAGGAAAATGGAAAGGATCAAAAAGTAGCCTGGTGGAGGTAGAATAAGGGTCACCCATTGATATTTTGCCGCCATCCTTTTCTCCCAAGATAAACTGCATCTTAAAAGCAACTTTTAGCTGCCCTGACAAATCGAAATATGACAAGTATCACTCAGAAGACTTGACTGGCATTTGGGAACCAACGAAATGCAAACTCAAGTTAAATAAGGAGATATAGGAAATAATATTTTCTTTCAAAAAATACGTTGAAGTCTGGTGCCTATGCAAGATTGATGCCTCACGAGTGGACTTTAGATAAACTTGTATTATTGTGTGTTACTGTCTGGTGAAAGATGTTAATAGAAGCTGAAAATAGCTGTTCCTCTCTTTATATGCCTTATTGTTGCTTTTTTCTTTACTTCCAACTGTAAATCTTCTCCAACTCTAATTAGAACAAAGTAGAGAAGAGACTTTAAATCAATCAATGGATTGAAAGATTAGGTAAAAAATAATATAGTAGAGCCACATTAGGATAAACCAGACATTAACTCACAAATCAGAAAATTAACTTTCTGCAATAGCCTGTAAGTTTTGAGACGTGATAACACATCTGTTTTATCATCATACCCCCAGCCTCTATCACAATGCCTGGCATATAATGTGTATGCAAATATTAACTAACAAAATGTAAACAATACACTATAATATAATAGCCTAGTACAGATGGTAACCCTGTCCCCTCGTGCCAATATGATACTTTTCTTTGTATGCTATTTGCCCTAAACTTAAGACATGAAACAAAATATCAGTGTTACAGGGCACAATAAGGTAAAAAGAAATCCATTTGACATATACAAGTAAGGCAACCAGAATAAAAGTCCTGAAAGGACAGTGTGTACAAAGATAAGAAGGTATCATAAGAACACAATTAGGAATGAGACTTTAAATCAATAGCTTATAAAGAACCACATGTTCTATTCTGGGATATCTACAAAGTAACAAATTATCAAAAAATAGCATGGTTTTCTGGGAACATCAGGGCTGTCTATACTAGTTTCAGAAAGTTGTTACTCAGTGAAGGAGAATGTTAGGGGTGAGACTATAACAAGGAGAAAAGGACAGATTCCAAAGCTGAATGTTGAAAGGAAGAAGGATGACTTTTGAATGTTATTAAATAATTAATAGGAAATTATCAAAAGATCATTCACAGGAAAATAAAATGTTGGGGTTTTTTTTAGGTAAACATTTAGGGTTGCTAATGTCCTCCCGAGACATTGTATAAAATAAATTAACAACAACAAAAAAAGACTGCTTGCTAGTTACATAGTAGGAGATAGAAAATTAATTTTGCATAATTAAAAGGAACAAATCAGCACTAACTAGACCAACTTTACTTTCCCTGAAAGTGCGAAAAGAAATAAATCTAAATTAGATTGTTTACCCAAATACATGGATTATAAGTGGATTCACTTTTTGCTAAGACCAGCTAAAGCATTGGTTCTCAACCTGTGGGTCACGACCCTTTTGGGGGTCGAATGACCCTTTCACAGGGGTCGCCTAAGACCATAGGAAAACAAAAAGATATTTACATTATGATTCATAACAGTAGTAAAATTACAGTTATAGAGTAGCAACGAAAATAATTTTATGGTTAGGGGTCACCACAACATGAGGAACTGTATTAAGGGGTTGCGGCATTAGGAAGGTTGAGAACCGCTGAGCTAAATAAAGCCTGAAAAGGATGCCTGGAAACTTTTGTTAATTTTGAAACCAAAGAATAATCTAAAGGTAGAGGAAAAAGTTACTCTGGGAAAAAAATTCTCAGTGTTAGGAAAGGCTGGCTGCCTATCTGGAGAACAAATAGAGCATTTAAACTGATAATCTAGCTTGCAACTACAAAATAACTCTCTCCTCATGCTATAGCAATGAATTGAATTCTAGGTACATAGTTGTTTGATTCATCAGAATTAAGGTAAACTAAGGTCTGTGTATATACCACACTAGATACCATTTTTTCGTCGACTAAGCCTATGTCATTAGTTACAAATCTGAAACAGAGTGAGTTTCATATTTACAGTAAACCACAAGTGTATAGTGAGTTGTATCCCACATTTACTTTACATTTTGAAATATAAGCATATGTAAAATGTAAATATGATTTTAATACTTTATAATAATTGACTCTTGTTACAGACCATCATAGTCAACTACATTTTTAAAGAATGTAGAAAAATTTAAAGACATTTAAAACTTTTTAAATCTTTAAAAACAGTTTAATTAAATCTTTAAAAACATTTTAAAGAAGGATGGGAAAACGTCTTAAAACTCCTACCTATCCCTGAGAATGGTCCAGAGCTCTCCGCCCAGGCAAGCTTCCATCAACATATACAAATATTTGCTGTCCTTAAATGTTCGGTATAGTCTGTGAATTGCAAATGAGAAAACCAAGGTTATAAACACTATTGCCTTTTAAAAACATGTAAATGTTTTGAGTGCCACGATTCTTGATATTCCAAGCTTGAGATGTTATTAAAAATATGAGCGAGATCTGAATTTGCAAATACAGAAAAGGAGGCAATGAATGGCTCACGACTAAAACCCATACACCTTGTGGGGTTCGTCTCTCCTTTGAAGTGGATTAATCCCGGTGATTACAGACAAGGAGCGCTCCTTGGGATTCCTCTAATTCCCATTTGGCTGACATTTCAAGCATGGACTCTTGAGCAATATTCAGTGGTTATAAACATACAGGGTTCACAGATATAAAATAGGTTACGCTTCAAATATAGATGATGTAATCTGTGCGCTGTTCACTTAAATTCATATTCTATCCTGTTTTCAGCAAGTGCAATGGGCAAATTAACTAGAAAAGCTTCTGCTGAATATCAAAAGCTCCCCATTATCCTCTTATTAGTGCTCTGAATATGCTGAGATGGAATAGTCATTTCATTTGTTAAAAGCTTTTTAGAAATGCTCAAATACTTAAAGATAAAATAGTTTGATTTTTGGTATTTTGTCTTTCAGGCACCAGGGGTCTATGGAGTTTGGGAGTAAGAGAGAGGATAAAAATGGAATGTTAGACATTCTGATATCTCTTTTGGGAAAAACATATTCTTTTCCCAGAATCTAATTCTCTTAAAAAAAAATAATCAAAATGAGGTTGGTTTTTTTCAAACAAAAATTTCTAAAATCTAATTACAAAATATGTTTCTTTGTGTGAAGGAAATGTGTCATGATGGTTGCAAGTGGCAGGGGGTTGTGTGGTTGATTTCCACGTGGTGCTGGGAATTCAGCCCGGGCAGACGCAGGATCTTTACCTCACTATGAAGTCGGAATGAGCCCCCTGCATGATTTGCTTCTCCGAGCGGATGTGCTCCTGTTGTCTTGTGTCCACAATGTGGCGTTTCTTGAGAATCTTCATTGCAAAGGTTTTGGATTCTTCACTTTTCAACTGGACCTTAGAGAAAGGCAGAAGGAATTAAGTGTGAAAACACCCATGGAGTTAATAGAACAGTTAATACATTCTTATCCCCAAATTAACAGGTGCAAGGGGCCTTCAATGACACACCAACTACCACCCGAATCACACAGTAAGTCCTTGTTGGAACTGAGTTTCAGATCCAGGACTCACGACTGTTGTCTAGTCTCATTCCATTGGATCAGATGAATTTTAACTTAACTGGATTCCCAATTAATTTTGTGCCCATTGGAATCAGAAGAGGGGAAATGTACGTACTTGATTTCCAGTATATTATTTCATTTCATATGTGTTTGAGTATACTTTCTAGTTTTTCTCCTTCAATCAAAAAATAGAAATGAAAACTGACTCCTCCAATTCTGATGGAAGTGAGTATAACAAAGGTACAGTCACATGGGCTTTTATGCTCTTCCTCCTGAGCCCTGGTCCACAAACTCTTCAAAAGTTATAAAATTCTCTGACGCCCCATTGTCTCTGCTGAGACTGCAAACGTATGTGCTGTTTTTTCTTCTCTTTTTTACCGTCTAGTCTTTCCCTTTCCTCCAGTTAAAAAAAGATAATAATTGTAACAAGATTCTTTTCAAGAGATTTTGAAGACTATTATTTTTCTTCTTCTCAAATATGCACGATGGCTTTAATTCTTTTGGATCTCAACCCTTAGTCCTTAGGTACACTAATTTGGGAGACCTAAGCTGCACCTTGATGTCCCCAAGGCTTCCGTGCCTCTGTCACAGCCCCACATGGACCCCAGTAGCCCTGGGTTCCTCAGTTGGGCTGCTGGTCTGTGTTCACGCTTTAAAAAATGTCAACAAGGTGAATTGTAAGGAAAAGAAGAGCGGTCATAGAGCTAATCACTTAATAACGATATTAAAGAGTTACTATCTAGTGTTCTCCAGCAACAGAACCCTCAAGATAATACCCAACAGCCCACATCATTCAGAACTAATGAAAGCCTTGAGGAAATAACATGACAAGCTGTTTCTGGTTTTCAGCTGCAGTAGCGCTGTCCCCTCTTTAGCTGTGAATCGTTTATGCTTAATCTGCAGGGATAGCAAACTTCTTAAGTGTCTTGTTCACACGCACATGTATAGACTGAATTCAATCTGAGAGGACATTAATGTGACAAGTTCCTTAGAAGAGAACATGAGGACACTTCAAATAAATGGACCTCGTTTGCTGCCAGCATTTGTGAATCTGCATGACAGGTTAGAGGGAAAACTCGATAATTGAAAATGCCTTAAGCCAAAGGCACTCTGCTCCATCAGTGAACCTCTAAAATGAAAGATTAGTGTACTGCAAATGAATTCAGTGGTAGCTCATCATGCAACATAAAATGTGGAAACCTGCTTGTAAAAGAAATTTGGGCAGATAGGAAAGATGGGATGAAAAATGAGCGTTACTTTAAAATTCAGAGGAGAAGGAACCATATCATATTCCACCTTTAGAGTCTTAGTGAAATGACTGAAGACGCTTGTGTAATTCACTTACCTCATGTAACACTATTCTCTTAAGTGATGATAACACACAGTTTTACTGTGCTTGGGGTGGGAAGAAAGAGGTCAGCCTTCAGGATCACAGGTCTGGACTTGAGTCCTGCCTTTAGTTAAGGCCTCCCTCAGTCTCTCGGGCCAGTTGCTTAGCTGCTCTGAGCCCCAGTTCTTGCTGAGCATAACATCAGCTACTGGACGGAGTTATGGTGACCTTAAAGGAGAATGTGCCACTGATTGGGCATTCACTGATGATCTCTCTTGTCTTTAAAACAAAGCCAGATCATGTCACTCCTCTGCTCAAAACCCTCACGTGCCTTCCCATCTCACTCATGGTAAAAACAAAGCTGTCGCAAATGCCAGCAAGGCCCTATACCATCTGGACCCCTGATACCCATGAGCCTAAGTCCCCCTTTACTCACTCTGCTGGGGTCCCAATGGCCACTTTGCTGTTCCTGGAGCACACAAAGCAAGCTCCTGTGTCTGGCTATTGGCTTATGCTATTCTTTTGTCTAAATATTCTCTCATAGGTATATCTAGGAATCACCCTCTCAGTTCCCTAAGTTCTTTGCTCAAATGTTTCCTAATCAGAAAGTCTCCTCACATCAGCCTACGTAAAAGACAAACCACCCACTCCTTCCTTCCTTTTTTTTAGTGTCCTCTATAGCCCTTATCACAAGCTAATACACTATTTTCTTTTTTTTTTTCTTCAATTTTTCCAGGACCCATCAGCTCCAAGTCAAGTTGTTGTCCTCCAATCTTAGTTGTGGAGGGCGCAGCTCAGCTCCAAGTGCAGTAACCATTTTCAATCTAGTTGTGTGCGGGGGGCGGGGGGGCACGCAACCCACTATCCCATGTGGGAATTGAACCAGCAACCTTGTTGTTAAGAGCACATGCTCTAACCAACTGAACCATCTGGCTGCCCACTAAGTATTTTCTTGGTTATTGATTTAGTATCTGTCTGCTCTCACTAGTCTGTAAGGAACCTGAGATTGGTGAATGTTTTGTTCACTGTGTCTGACATAGAGCAAATGCTCATGAAATATTTGTTGATTAAGTGAATCAAAGCAAGAATGATATCAACCATGACCATTTATCACTGGCAAAGCCACAATAGAGCTGACATCTAAGCTCCACACTGTATCGCTGAGTTTAACAAGAGAAAATCTAGGGAAGCTATAGTGACAAATATGTTGCCTTTGGTCTTTTTCTGCTTTCTGAAAGTTCCCTTAATTATGCACACAAGAAACGATTTCTATGTGCTAAAGAAGTACAGGAAATATACATAACCAAATATCTATGTGACTCAGCCGTGAATTTTCAGGTTTTATTTTTTAAAATGTTTTAACCTTTTTTTCCCCCTTGAATGACTAAGATGTGATATTCCCAATTATAGAGCCTATTAGATGAATAAAATCATCTCTAACATGGCTGCCAGTTCTTGGGACTATGGCCATCTCTTTAGATCCTATTTTCCTAGCCTTTACAACTGTTTAGTATCCCTCCAATTAATAAATTCTGATTCCAAGTGTATTTACCATTTTTGTTATAAGCAGCTCATTGCTATTATATCTACACCCAGATGTTTTATTAATTTCACTGTAGCCAGGATATTAGGTTAAAAGAAATGTTTACCTACTTTGATATTTCTTTAATAGTTTTGAACTTTATATTAGGAAGAATCTATGCAGGGAAACAAATGAAGCCATCAGGGGGATGTCAGAGAAAGAAGCAGCAAACTTCATTTAACAAACAAGGTCTGGGCAGTGCCCATAAACATTATTTCATTTAATCCTAACATCAACTCTTAACAGCAGAAGGAAGGTTTTCTTTTGGTTGTTTTTTTGTTTTTACAAATACTCCAAAATCAGTAACAACAACAGTTAATGTTAGTAAAGCTCTCATTAGGTGTCATGAGCAGTGTAGTAGATGAGTTTTCTTACTTAATCTTCCTGGCAACCCTTTGTGATACTGTTATCATTGCCATTTTTCAGAGGAGCAAATAGAAAATTATCAGAGAGGTTCACATCTTGCTCCAGTCCACAGAGCTATCAAATGGCAGAACCGAGGTCATGCTCAGGTCTGTTGGGCCCAAGCTATTCCTAGTATAGGATGCTTCCTTTCAGCTGAATTGCATATAAAGTAAATTAAGAGCATAGTGATTGATGCTTTAGAAACAAGAGTTTAATGGCATTGGCTAACTCATAGACTCTCTGTGTGAGAAAGGCTGAACCATGTATTATTACCTTTAATCTTCACTCATGCCAGACATGTGGTTTGGGGACAAGCTAAAGCCTCGCTATTGTTTTTCTAGGTACTTACAGGGAGAGACCTCAATGTGTTCTCAGGGATCTGGGCAACTTAGTGCTTAGATCCTGTGAGGAGAAGCCAGGGGTAGGAGTGGGTGAGGGAGGGTGGAGGGAAAGGGTGGTGGGTGGCATGTGGCTGCTGCCAATGGAAGGTAGGTAAAAGTTACAGAAATCATGAGGAGGCAGCCTATTGGTTGGCAATTTAGGAAGTATTAATTACAGAAAGTTTACAGACTCCTATAGCCTATCTACTGAGGCTTTCTGCTTCGTCTTTACTTGGCTTGAGTAGAGACAGCCCTGGGGTCAGGAACCATCTTCCATCTTTGTAGTCTGTAAACACTTCACTAGTTCCTTAGAGCATGGCACTTAGAGTCTCCACTTCCATTTCAAACTAGAATACCACAAGACTCACAGGACCCTGGCTTCTTATTAATTCCTCTATAAATAAAGTGTCTTTCTTTTCCATCCTTTCTTGCTATAGTGCTTTCCTTCCCACCTTCACCTCAACTCTGTTGAGGTGAAAAATGTCAATAATCCCATTTGCTTTGTAACATGCCTTCAGACTGAAAATTTAGTTCTACAGCTAGTGACAAGAGACGTCAGAGCATATGTACTTATTAAATTCAAATTAATCAAAAGTAAAACTATGTTTATAGACAGATAGGTTTCTTTTAATTTCGTCAAAAGATATTTAACTTTCAGTTTGGAGGAAGATCAGAGAAAGAACTTCATACTTTTCTATTTTTAATTACAACATGAACAAAGAGTTGGACTATTTTATAGAAATCACTTGCAAATTGAAAAACACTTGTTTCCCTTAATAAGGAGTCGGCAATGATTAATTGACTCAAAAGGCAACCTACATGGATTGATTCAAGGTTATATACTGAAATGTGCAATTTCAACACACCATTTCTTTTCCTTACAGTACCTGTGTTAAATAAACCTTATTTCATTTTGCAGTAATTATTTAAATTGGTATTTATATTTTTTACCTATAATAAACTTTAAATTATTTTTCTTCATCAAATCAACAAATATTCCCCCTCCTATGATTTGATTTCTATGCATAATTTCTTTACTCCTGTAAAGAAACACTATATGCAACAGTTTTAAAACTTGCTCACGTATTTCTAAATTGATCACTTGACTATTTCACATAATTCACATAATTAAAGCACAC